TGTAAGCATGCAGGTATATATATAGATCACAGTACAAGCAAAGTCACGCGGTGAGTAAGTGAGGCAAAGTAGGCACAAGGCCTAAAACAGTATAGACACGCTGATGATCACAAGGCTAAAGTGCTTTGGTGAATATATCAGCAGTAATGGCCCGAGTGGCCACGTAAGCAAGACGAAGCTGACCACACTGCTGCAACTCTCGAGCAAGGAAGTACCGCAGAGCGATGTGCTTCGTCATGTGGTCCAGTCTGTGCTCCTGACACAAGGCAATCATGGCCTTTTTGTCTACGTACAGAACTGGAGGAGAACGAGGCCGCTCTCCCAAGTCGGTCAGCAGGTAGGTGAGCGAGCGTAACTCCTGTGCAGCCATGGCCCCAGCATAGATCTCAGCCTCACAACTGGAACTGAGAACAGAAGACGAGCGGGTAGACCGCCAAGAAACAGAGCCGGAGCCAAGGCTGAAGGTGTAACCCTGTGACGACCGCTGCGTAGCCAAACCGTCAACCATTTCAGCCGTCGGATTAAGCTGGAAAGAAGATAAATGGCATCCTTGCTAGTGTGTGACACTTCTAAGTAGATGGCTACCTTATTTGGAAGGTGGGAGAGCGTAGAGAATTGTAATTATTTACTGTACTTGCACTTTAGAGGGTACAATTCCAAGGACCACACGTCAGTTCGTTTGTCATATATTTCCGAGTCGCACAAATCGCAACATTTCCGATCCATCTTCGCCCGACCTTCCCGCCTAGCTAGGAAAACCCCTATTTAGTGTCGCCATTTTCATTGTATCATCAATTCGTGATTTCACAGTCTCGTTACTATTTATCCTGCGCACTCTGAAAGGTTATTCATAACAACACCACACTTATCCCGTTCACCCCATTACCAAATTTCATTATATACATTAATTATCATTCACATATTCCTGGAGAATTGGTGAGTCACGCCTTACACGTAGGCTCGTCGGAGTCTTGATCGTCAACGAGTTTCCACACGTCAGGGTGGCGATGGAAATGATGTCGTATAAGGAGTGATGTTTTCATTGGTTCCGATATATGACGACTATTCAACCTTGTTTCGGGCATCGTCAAGCATCGCAGAATGTTTTCACGTGACACGTCGCCCTTCCAGTTTCCTCCGGCGCCTTGCTGTTTCAGGATTTGAACAAACGGGACAACATACTGTTTTGAAGTAACCACACGTTTTTCCAAACCGGAACGGGCAGCCGTTTAGTCCGAAAAGACAGATGGATCACTTTCAAACCTTTTACGAAGTCGGAGAAATTTCAGCGTAACTTCAAAGTGCCGAACATGGAGCCACCAGCCAACATTGACAAGAAGCAAATGTAGTACCCTAGCTTTCGTAACAGAATGGAGCACTACGCGAAAGAAAAATCATCAAAAGAAGATACTCTCTTCTGCTTTTTGCACTTTCACCCCATTTGAGGGATTCCGAGGGCTTGTCCCCACAAGTTCGCATTGCGTAGTACCCTACCCGACCGAACGAGATATCAAATTGACCGCTGTACAACGTAGATTAGCATGTGTGAAAAGCATTCAGACGAACCTGTGGGATACGCCTTCACCTCCTTTTCTTGCTCAAGCATTCTTGAAATCCATACAAACAAACAATTTCAAGAATCCAGAGCATGCTAAAATCACACTGCTGCTATCAAGCGTTAGAATTCACTTTAGCTCACTAGACTGTCCGCATGCAATACCTCGTAGACTGCTCACAATTCCCCTCTCAGTACTTACCTTCCGCTCCGAGCGGAAAGAAGAACCCCTAGACGAAATCCTAGGTCCGTTTCACTCGCTCTTCCGTCCGCTGCGTCTCCGCGTTGAGGCGTGCACCACCGAGTCTACTGCCTCCCCGCCGCCGTTTTTGCACCGCGGCCCCACGAATCTCGTCCAAACACACCAACGTCGCGAGAGTTGAATCTTTCCAGTGCAATGAGGCCAAGCTCGGCGCGTTTTGCGGCACCGAGGAGAGTGACGCGGTACTCGGCGCGCTTCTCCTTAAGATTGATGTATCTTCCTATCCTCACTGTCGCCCTGGCGCTTCATTTCTTGGAGAGCCTCCACGTGCACGCTGAAGGACCCATCGTGCCCATAGACACGCTGCAAGGTGACTCGATAGACTACCAAGGTGATAAGGAGGGCGAGAACTGAAGCGTGGATGTGGGGTGTTCTCATACTTCCGATTGAACACTGAAAAATAAAGATGATGGTGCAATCAAAACATCCCCTTTAAACAGAGATTGAACATGCGATGCGACGGTGTGGTGCAATAGAGATGCGATGGGATGGGCGTTGGAGTGGTGTCATGGTAGATGCAGATATGGTGTGATGCGGGGTGCGATGTCATGCGGTAAGCTGTTGTGGTGCGATTTGGTGCAAGAGTCAGTGATGCGGCTGAAGGAATACTATGGAGAGCGTAGCGATAGCGAGAGAGTTTCTGATATGAGAATGGTGTTGCGCTAGCAACTCGGTAGCGTTTCAGTAGCGTTTGTCTCTAAGGACTTCGTGAGAATTCAAGTAGCAATTGGACTTCACAAGAAATGTAATATGATCCATGATTACAAAAGCAAACATACATGCAAATATAGGCAAGCAAGAGTTGCACAAATGTTGCGTGGCGCTTCGGTGTAACCCAACCCCACGAAAGTGGTGTGCGGGTGGGTGAACGCGCCCCGCCAAACTTCCATCCAACTCAGCAGCAAAATGTATTCCGTGCACGCCACTCCAGCCAACACTGCAAGGAGTGGCGTGACTCTCAAAGAAGCACACCTAACTCCCAAAGACTCATGCCTCCTCACACCGAATCCACCACTTCTCCAACCATCACGGAGATCGGTGCTGAGGCATTAGGTCGTCAGTCGCCGACCTGCCAAGTCAAACGCTTCGCGAGGGCCCTTGCTGTCGTAGGGCCCTCTAACAGCGGCGGAATGCGATTGGATGGGGTTGGTTCTGGATGCTTCTTGATCCTTGGGATGGGATGGGATGGCATGGGATGGGATGGGATAGGATGGGATCTCTTGGGATGGATTGAGATGGGATGGGGATGGGATGGGATGGGATGGGATGGGATGGGATGGGATGGGATGGGATGGGATGGGATGGGATGAGATGGGATTGGATGGGATGGGATGGGATGGGATGGGATGGGATGGGATGGGATGGGATGGGATGGGATATGGGATGGAATGGGAGGGGATGGGACGGGATGGGACGGGAAGGGACGGGAAGGGACGGGAAGGGACGGGAAGGGACAGGGACGGGACGGGACGGGACGGGACCAGACCGAACGGGATGGGACGGGATGGGATGGGATGTGATGAGATGGGATGCGATGGGATGGGATGGAATGTATTGAGATGGGATGGGATGAGGTGCGATGGGATGGGATGTGGAGTGATTCCATGGTATACGACACCATGTGAGCAAAGCTGCACCTGTTTGCAGTCGAACGTCGTATCTACTCCTCATGCATCCACGCTCACTTACTGCATGTGTGCCCGGAGAAACCTCCTATGCTACCTCAGAAAACACCCACTCATTTCTGCGTGTGAGCTGTGCTCCTTTCTTCTTCCCTCCGTCCCTCTCTTCTCACAGGACAAGCTCTGGCGGAGAGCACGAGTGCATGGGGAGTGGCGCCCACAGGGTGGAGTGGAGGGGGGGACTGCAGCCAAGTGCAAGGGTTGACCTGTGACAGCAATGGGACGGTGGTGGCAATGTGAGGGACCGTGACTTGTTACGGTCTTTGTTTGCTTACATCGTCCACCATGGGACCCTCTTCGCCATTTCATTGTAAAGGGTTTAGAAATGGATTTGAATGCAAGCGATTGCGTTTCCATACCTCCAACACATGGTAGTTTCTGTTCGTTGATCAATCATCACATCGGGATGACACGCATGCCTCCACATGGCATCGCTTCTCATGGCATCGCTCCACATTGCATCGCTTTACATGGCATGCATTTTCATGGCATGGCATGAGTTGGCATGCTTTTGCATGGAATTCATCTACATGGAATGCCTTCACATTACATGCAGTCTCATGGCATGCCTTCTCATGGCATGTGTTCACAAGGAATGCTTTCTCATGGCCATCATTTGCATGAAATGCCATTTTATGATTGTCATGAGCAGCGACCTGAGCAACACCCCCTTGAACGGCAGCATTCCTCCAGGGATTGGCAGCCTCACCACCCTTACTCTCCTGTAAGCCTCACCTCCCTCACTCTCCCGTTAGCCTCTTCCTTTACCATTTCAACTGAACTGCAGGCAGTAAGCTCTCTAAAGAGTTCCAGCATTCCTCCTTCAAACTGTTTTTGTTCTCCTCTTCTTTATTTTTTCCTCCTCCTCCCCTATCCCCTGACTGTCTGTTCCGACCACAGCAATCTGGCTAACTGTTCTCTGAGTGGCTACATCCCTGTCGAATTCAGTGCTCTCACCTCCCTCTCCCTCCTGTAAGAATTATCCTGCAGATCTACATTAGAATCTGCACAAAATTCCTACTTATTGTCGTGCTTTTGTGGGGTTGCCGTTTCTTAATAAGATAACCGTACCTCCCTCTTCCCCTCAATATCTATAATCCTCAATCCCCAGCTGTTCCTTTTCCTCCTACCACACCCTCCACCATTCCAGGACTACAACCACTTCTCACCCCTCTGAACACATATGTCCCACCTTCGCCTTTGCTCACGTCTCTCTCGAAACTCATATTTGCCTCTGTCATTGACTCTTCCTTCCCCTCATGTATAACCCATGCTGACAGCTTTGTCCTTCTCCCCCACTCGCCCTCCTCCCCCGCCCCCGCATTATTCTGCTCCCTCCCCCTCAAGCGGTCTTTGTATTGATAAAGCAGAGGTACAGACAATGTGTTGGATTATTCCTAAACTCTCTCTCTCGCATCCTCCCCTCCGCCTCCCTCTCTCATACCCTCCCTCCCTCCCCTATCCCCTTCCCCTTCCTCTTCCCATTCTCCCCCCTTCCCTCCTATCCTCCTCGGGTCTCCCCTTGGCCGGCCCCCTTCTTCCCCCACGTCCCATGCAGCGATCTGAGTCACAACACCCTACGGGGCACCATGCCGTCGTTCCTCAGCCTGCTGGAGAACTTGAGGCGCCTGTGAGTCGGCGGCCTGGGATGCCCGACGGGCTCGAGAGGCTCGAGAATTGGCAGGTTCAGAGGGTGTCGTGTCAAGGGCTTGAGAAAGTGGCAAGTCAGGGGCTTGAGAGGCTCGAGAGTTGGGACCTTGAGGGTTGATACTTGAGAAATGAGAGAATTCGTGAGTGGGAGGCTTGACAAACAAGTATCTAAGAGAGAGCGTAGTAGTCACAGTCCTTCCAAAGAGAACCATGCATCACATCCACTCACCCCTTGACCAGCCCTTTCCCCATGCCCTTGCTCCCTCCCACCATGCCCTTGCTCCCTCCCACCATGCCCTTGCTCCCTCCCACCATGCCCTTGCTCCCTCCCACCATGCCCTTGCTCCCTCCCACCATGCCCTTGCTCCCTCCCACCATGCCCTTGCTCCCTCCCACCATGCCCTTGCTCCCTCCCACCATGCCCTTGCTCCCTCCCACCATGCCCTTGCTCCCTCCCACCATGCCCTTGCTCCCTCCCACCATGCCCTTGCTCCCTCCCACCATGCCCTTGCTCCCTCCCACCATGCCCTTGCTCCCTCCCACCATGCCCTTGCTCCCTCCCACCATGCCCTTGCTCCCTCCCACCATGCCCTTGCTCCCTCCCACCATGCCCTTGCTCCCTCCCACCATGCCCTTGCTCCCTCCCACCATGCCCTTGCTCCCTCCCACCATGCCCTTGCTCCCTCCCACCATGCCCTTGCTCCCTCCCACCATGCCCTTGCTCCCTCCCACCATGCCCTTGCTCCCTCCCACCATGCCCTTGCTCCCTCCCACCATGCCCTTGCTCCCTCCCACCATGCCCTTGCTCCCTCCCACCATGCCCTTGCTCCCTCCCACCATGCCCTTGCTCCCTCCCACCATGCCCTTGCTCCCTCCCACCATGCCCTTGCTCCCTCCCACCATGCCCTTGCTCCCTCCTCCTCTTGATTCCTCTCTCTATGCCTTGGCATAATTCATGATCAACAATTCGCTGAAACAAATTCCATTCCACAATGATTTTCCAGTCGACACCCCTGCCCTCCTTGTGGCCTTTCATTTCCCCCCTTCGTGCGCTGGGCGGATTCATTCCGCAATGAATTTCGACTCAAAGTCAAACCCTTTCCTCCGTGCGCCTTCCCTTTGTGCTCTGCGCCTACCCTTCGTGCTCCTCACACCACAGGGACCTGAGGAACAGCTCGTTGAGCGGAGCCATTCCGGCCAGCATCGGCATGCTTCCGAACCTGCGCTTCCTGTGAGTCACAGCTCCGCCCTCCGCCCAACTACATGTTCAGTTAAGACTGTATGCCATAGTGTATTTACAGAATATATATATATATATTATATTCTATATATATTTATTATATACATATATACATACATGGCTTGACAGATTGACCCCCTCCCCACATCATTTGCTGGAGCGCCTCATTTGCATCGAAGATTTCTAAGGTTGTCTGTCCTGTTCTTTGGGAATCATCGATCTGCACTCCATGCGTTTGTCCATAACGATCTGCTCACCTTTTGGCTGCTAACCAAGATCTTCCGGGTTCCCACCTACCGGCGGTACTGCTGATCTGCGCCCCTCCGACTGATGCTTTCCCAATGAATGGCGGTCCTCTCTCCTACCCACAGGGACCTCTCGTCCAACCACCTCACTTTGGACGTTCCTGCCTCCCTGGGCCGACTGAACTCACTCACCCTCCTGTGAGCGAATCATCCATCTTTCTTCAAATGCTTGGATCGCACTTCTAGAAGCTGCTACCAACTGGAACGATTCAAAGATACTCTATGCCATTGTGGGTTTCTTTTTTGGGGGGGGGAAATGGGGGTTGGGGGGAAGGGGACGGGTGGGGAGGGGGGGAAGGGGTAGCATCACCACAGGTTAAAAACCAAGATGTGCGGGACTAATAATGCCATCTCAATTTGCTGTTTCTCCCTTCCTCCGCTCTGGCATCCGGTCCCTCTCTCCTCCAACACTCTCATCCCCTCCCTCCTCCCCCTTCTCCCCCCATTCCCTCGTCTCCCTTTTACTTCCTCCCTTCCCTCCTCCTAATCTATCCTATACCTCTCTGCGTTCCCCCTCCCCCCCCCCCCCCCTCCCCCCCTCTTCTTTCCCCCCTCTATTTCTGCAGCGATTTGAGTCACAACAGTCTTCGGAGTAGCATTCCATCCTTTCTCAGCCTGCTGGAGAATCTTAGGCGCCTGTGAGTTGGCGCCTTGAGAGGATTAAGAGGCTTGGCGCGTGAGTGAATTGAGAGGCTTGAGTGGCTTGAAACACTTGAGAGGCTTGAGTGGCTTGAAACACTTGAGAGGCTTGAGTGGCTTGAGAGTCGGAAGATTGAAAGACAAATTAAGTTAAGATAAAGAGAGTACCAGTCACAGTCTTGCCGTTCAAACCCATGTTACAGTGCCATCAAATGTACTCATCGCATTCTCACCAACCACCCCCTGCACCCTTGTCCACATGCCTTTGTGTTAGTGTTAGCCCTCACATCACCTTTTGTACTTGTACTTTTTATATCCTAGTTTAGTGTGTTAATGTTAGCCCTCAATCTCACATTTGTACTTGTACTTTTTATATCCTAGTTTAGTGTAGTTTGCACTTTGTGTTTGGTTGGGTGTATACCCACATCCCAACCAAACCCAAATGTGATCTCCAAGCAATCTCCAACCCACCAATTGGAGATTGCCTTGGGATTACCCCCAATTCCCTAGGATTGCCCCCGATTCCCTCTCCATCGATTCCTTGCTCATTTTTTATGTACTTAAAGAGCTTTGAGCTCACTACTAATGTATGGATTCTAAGCTCAAGTTCTAACATGGTATCAGAGCTCTTCAACCGGACATGCGGATCTTGATTCTTTTACCTTTGCGGAATCCTCTCCCGCACCCTTAGGCGAAGCCGCCTTCAACATTCATCGCTCGACGTAAAGCATCGTCATCGACCTAATCTTCTTCCCAGCCGGAATTTTTTCCGCGCCATCTTCGTCGCCGTTGATTCGCGACATCTTCCGTGGGTAGATTCTCTCCCACACTACCTTTCCTTCAGTTACGAGGCACCGATTTCTGCGTCTCGCTTAAGGTAACCGTAGCTACCATTTCCTCGTCGCTCTCCCTCATCACCGCGGCTTTGTCCCGCCGTCCTTACCGCTTTGGCGTAACCCAATTTTTCCCATCTCGTCAATCGTCGGGCTGCCGCCCATCGCCCTGCATCTTCTCTTCGGGCTGCCGCCCGTCGCCCTGCAGCGTCACCTTCGGGCTGCTGCCCGTCGCCCCGCAACGGCACTTCCATCACCCCGCAGCTGAACAGGTGAAGCTGCGCAGCTGAGCAGCCGTGTAGCAGTGAAGCTGAGCAGCAGTGTAGCCGCGAAGCTGAGGGTGGTGTGTGGGGGGGTGTGTGGGAACAGGGTTAGTAGTTAGTCAACACTACCAAAATCGGCCATTTCAACCTATTTTCGTCGGCCTTAAAACCTTCTACGAGACATCTTGAAGCGGCCAACATTGACGTTCTTCGCTCTTCGGGACCTTCGGATTTTGAAATTGCTAAACCTCTCCTCAAAATTCTCATTCATAAACCCTACTGTGCAATTCTCCTTCCTAAACCTGAACCCGAAGTTCTTATCTATGACTTAAGAGACATTTCGCGCGAGAAAGAGGTTCTTTACCATGGCCTTCGTCACGGAAACCATCAACTTGTTGATCCCTGGCGCCGCCATGATCAATGAAGCAACCTCGCAGCACATCGGCTCACCACAGGCACCACAGTACATAGAAGTTACTCTCGACAGCGGGGCCACCCACATAGTGCTCAAGGAGACACTCTCCTTCAAACCCTATTCAACACCCATTCCTCTCTTGGGAGCTGATTCAAGCTTCCCCACCTTTGCCAAGGGTTCGCCTATTGTCCCATGGCCTGCCTTCCCATCTGTCACTGTTACTGGGATGAGCGTGCCCTCACTGCGCCACAATCTATTGCCTCAACAAGAACTTCAGAAGGCTGGGCTCCACACCATAATTTCGAAATTCAAGGACTATTGTGACGACATTGACCCTCTCACCAACAAGGTCTTAGCTCACTTCACCCTCAACAGCACCAATCTCTACACTCTGCGTGTACCTATCCCACAGGTGTCAACCACCCAAGCACAGCCCACTACCACACCATGCTCATGTCGCAGTTTCTCTAACCCGACCATCCTCTACCACCATCGGCTCGGGCAACCAAACTTCCGCACGCTCGCTGACATGGCCTCCAAGAAACTTCTTCTCGGCCTACCAGCCTCACTCCCTCCACCACCTAACTCTCCCGCTCCCACATGCCTTGACTGCACCAAGAGCAAGCTACGCCAACAGCCCCACCCTGCCTCACCCTCAGTCGCAGTAGCCCCACTGGACCTAGTGCACATGGACGTCTGGGGCCCTTCCCCTGTTGCCGCACGAGGCGGTTATCGCTATTTCCTTGCAATAGTTGATGACCACTCTCGCTACGTCTCTGTGCACCTCCTCCATACTAAGGCTGAGGCTCCTGAGACCATCATAGCGTGGGTTAACCAGGCACAGACCACCTTTGGCACCAAGGTCAAGCGCCTCCATTCGGATGGTGGCAGTGAATTTTGCAACGACAGACTCAAATAATTCTGCTCCTCTCTCGGTATCTTGCAAAACTTCACCCTTCCTGACAGCCCGCAACAGAACGGCATCGCAGAGAGCCGCAATCACAGGTTGGCACAGATCACCCACTGCCTCCTCAGCCACTCCAACGCACCACTTTCACTCTGGGGGTACGCTCTCTACCATGCCGCCCTCCTCTACAACCTCTACCCCCACCCGCCTCTTCCCGACACCACTCCCACCACACTCTGGCTTGGGAAAACACCCACTGCTCGCCCTCTTTGGGTATGGGGGTGCACCGCATATGTCCTCCTCAACCCTCAGGCTCGGCAACAGCAAGGTGGTAAGCTCGGCCCCAAAACTCAAACGTGCATCTATCTTGGGCATAACGCCGACTCCCCTGAATACCTCTTCCTCAACCCCTCTACTCAACAATTCATCCGGAGCCGCGACGTCGTTTTTGACGAGACTCGCCCCTTCTACTCCTCCTCGAGCCGGATCCTTCCTCCGGACCACCCTCTCTTGTGTGGGCTGACTTTGATGCACCTCCTGAACTTCCACCTGCACCAGCTCCCTCACCCCCTACCTCTCCTGCCATCGCACCGTCCCACTCTGAGCTCTCTGACCCGTCCTCACCAGTGTCTACGGCAGCTGCTCCCTCATCTCTCCCCTCTCCCACTCCACCAACTGCGCTCCCACCACCACGTGCACCAATCACATACCATTGGCGGTCGAACCCTCCGGCCCCACCTCCTCCCTGTCCTCCTTCCACTCAGGATCCCACTCTCCCACAACCGCCCGAATTGATCACCTACCAGCGTCGACCGATCCCTCCGCCCAAAACCCCTAAACCGACCCCTCCAGTGCTGCCCGCTCCACCCTCCTCCCCGGTGGCTCATGGCACTCGGTCACATGGGGCTGCTCCTCCACTAGCACTTGCTATTCGATGCTCAGTGATCACTCCGCCTCCTCCTGCTGGGGGGGATGTGCCTCCTACCCTTCTGGAAGACAGGCATGAGGAGCTGTGTGTTCTTCACGCTGTCATTCCCCAGCTCTCGCACATCTTCCCCGATATCACTAAATCACCCTCACTCAACTTCTCGGAGAACCCGACCATCCCTATCCCTCTCACCGTCCAATAGGCTCTCTCTGGTCCACATGATACCGAGTGGCGTGCTGCCATGGAAGCTGAGTGTGAAGCTTTCACTCGCAACCACTCCTTCGACGATGAAACTCCACCTCCTAGAGTCAACATCGTTGGGGGCAAGTGGTTGTTTCGAGTGAAACAACTTCCGGACGAGGCCCCAGTGTTC